AAAAAAGAATGCTTTTGCTGCATGCTTTTTATTGTACAATTTTAATATTACTATTCAAAGTTTAAAAATTAATCCGAGAGAATCTGGGCAAAAACAAATCATAAGGCCTTTATCCTAACAGTGTTTGTCTCCTTAATTTTGCACGAAGAGGCACAGTTTGTAATGACATAATGTATTTTTACTGGACCATCTGATACAACTGGAGAAGGGTTGGGGGCGGGGGGAGAAGATTTTCCAGCGTGCCTGAAACGACACCCCTTCATCGAACACTACAAGTTAGCAAAACCCTAGCTAAATACAGGCTAACTTTACATAATCACAAACAATAAGGTCACGTACAAAAGTAGTTAGATTACTTCTGAGGGAGAAGTTATTTACAATACCGGAACATAGTTCTTCAGTCCTTACTTAGGCAGACAGTTTAGCTGAAGTCAGTGAGACTGACATGAAAACTGCAGTTTTGGGCACTGGGCTCCGCAAGTTCAATGCTCTGTAATCCTTGCTAAATGTTTCAATAGTTACATTTATTATAATTGCTATTCCAAAGGAGACAGCCTATTCGACACTAAATTGGACTTATCTTCAAATCCTAGATGCATGGCTTAATTTACATGTAAAGGTATGCATACATAATGCATACAAAAGTTTGTACGTTGCCTTCAATACAAGTTCAGTTGACATGAAGGCTGAAGTTTGAGGTAGTTCATAGAGAAAGAATGAATTCTTGATAAAGTTTACATGAATGTCTTCTAAAAAAAGAACAGGCCTGCACCACAGATTCTCTCTGTGTACATTCCAACCAAGTACAAAATTTTGGTTAGCTATAGGTTTAAAAGGACAAAACACTTAAATATAAATATTTAAAAATATGACAACAAATATTTTTGATGCTTGTGGGCAATGCACCACAGTGAGCGATTTCAAGTCAGTATATTACTAAAATGATTGATTACATTTCTGTGTTCTTTACAGCCTAAATTTTTTAAAATTTTGCTTACTTGGGGGTGGGCTGCTGTTTGTTATTTTTCCAGAAGAAAACATTATTCAGATCTCCTTGAATAATTTAGGAATATTTGTTTACAACCTGCAAAAAGACTAAAACTAGACAAAATATTGTATTAATTTAAAAGGTTGGAATGTGATTAAAGTTTGAAATGTCTGATTTCTAGGAAAAAAGAATCAGTGCAGTGCAAAAAGAAAAAAAAGGTATAATTTATTCATTTTGCACAATGGGGACCAGCAAAATATACAAGTTGTCAAAAAACAATCTAGGTTAGAATCATGAAAGTTAGTATCTGAGAAGCTGCAGCACAAAAAATTCAGGTCACATTTGATGGTGCAAACAATTACAGGAAATACAGCCTATTCCACATTCAGGAAGAGCCCTCTCTTCCCAAAGGCTTGCACTAGTCTGATAAAAACAATCCAGCTTCCTAGTTATTATGATGTGCACTTTAAACATCCTTGTTAATCCACAAAAGCCTTATTTACATATAAGAAGTTAAAAGTACACATATACAAAGGTATCTAATCTAAACAAAATTAACTTTCATATTTTATTATAAAGTAGTTCTTGGAAAAAAGAAAAGTTTCTTCCATATACCTCTCGTATTCAAGATGATCTTCAAAATCAAATGCTGTAAGGAAGAGAGTATCTACTAAATTAAGCACTATGATTTTCAAAGATCAAATGTTAGGAAAAAGTTCAAAAGGAAAAATGTGTTTTGGATAACAGACAGGAGAGTAAAAGGCCAAATAATGAGATATACATTCTGAAGTCTAAACAGATTACATAAATTGTTCTTCATCTAAGCTGACAGACGCATTTCTTACTTTTTGCTGTATACAATTACAAGAAGTAATAAAAAACACAAGCCCATTAGATTTTTGTTCTTAATACTGACGCATACTTAAAAAGTAGCACTGCATTAGTGAAAGTAACCTCATGTTTTGTTTGTTTGAATTCTTCCAGTTGTGACTACTTCTTCAATTAGACCAGTAGAAAATAAAAGATAAAGGCAGATAGTTGTCTAGGAATATTATTCTTCTCAAGCATAATCAATCTTCAGGGAAACTGTTTTGTAGCAACTAAAAGAAACCCTACTCAAAACATAATACTGTGTACTAGAAGTGAATTAATTTGAGGGGAATCTTGTAATTTTTTATATACATACATCAATACCCACACCCTGCACCCCCTAATATTTTGCATTCTTAAAGGCACCACAAAACAACTGCTGAAAAATATTAAATGTAGTTCTTTTGTGTTCTAAATCTTGAAGATACTTCTAGCAAGCTATAAAACACTACCAAAGAATGTCAATGTAGCATTGAGTTAAAGACATTCAACATGGTATCTCTTTGATAACCAGGAGAGATGTTTTAAAGAACATCCTCTCACACTGTTGTGATTTGTGTCAGCTGTTGCTCTAACTTCTCAGCTGTAAATCACTATATTTCACCTATGTAATGCTGCATATAAACAGACAATATACGGAAGTGCATACAAGTATAGATACCTGAATGAATCCACAAATATTTTGTCACTCTTCATTATCTTCTATTAGATTTTTTAATTTCACTATTGAGGTTAGTAATGGGCCTCGAAACCAGTTTCCTGGTCTCAGAAAAAAAAATAACTGGCGCCCCTTAGTGTTCACATTTTTAAGTCTTGAAGCAATTTACTAGATTTGCATGAAACATTTTTTTCAACATTCCAAAAAGTTTTCTGACTCCACAATACTTCCACCCAATTGCCAACGTAAACAGGAAAAGCAAAAAAGCTTAAAGGGATAGCAGAATTCTTTCTGAAGCTATTGAGAAATACAGATAATTTTTTTTTTTTTTAAGAAGGGGTGAAGAATAGCTTCAGCACTACTAACTCTTAAAAGAGCGTCTTCTGCAAGAGTCTCCACATCCCTCATTTTTGGATTCTAATACTTCACAAAACAGAGATTTCCAGAGCTTCCTGAATTTAAACAATCTCAAAAGATGCAAGGCTCTAGACATTCCTTTTTTCCCCTGTGTCCTTTCCTTATCTGGGACGTTTCTCTTCCTTTTGTTCTTTGACAAAATAAGTTTGAGGCCTTCTCTGGCTAAATACATAAACTTCAAGAGATTTAGGAATTAAAAAAAAATTAAAATGTATGAAAAGCTCATTTGTGCTAAAAAGTCTTCTTGGTCAAGTTTCTTCTTGATGTTTATTATAAACCTTGCTAATTATTCCAAATATGTCATGTTCTCCATCACCATAGAAAACATGTTCTAAATAGCAGAACACACAGATTTGAAAAGTAAAATTTATAGTGAATTTACAGCTTATCAAATTCTTTAAAAGACGGACTACAGGAAGCTATATATGGGGAGATTCTATTTTTATGTTAATATTCTCTACTTTTTTTTTTTAAAAAAAAACTCCTCTATCATTTATTTCAGAAAGTCGAGTTTTCTCAATATGCTATTTTCTGTTGTACTCCAGTTGCTATCTCATTTTTACAGTCTTTGGAGAGGGCGGGGAGTTGTTCTATCAAATATAACCAGCTCTTTCATCTTCCGAGGTCAACAACTTCCCAAAGTTTGTTTAACCAGGAGGAATACAGCTACAAGCAAAAATCCCAACTCAAAATCTCGAAACTCAGTATTTCATGCTAAGATTCTCAAGAAGTTGAAGCTGCATAAGTAACTTCTGTTTTTATTCGGTAGCTTTATAAAATTTGTAGAGTTAAACAGTTCTAACTTTCCGGAAAGCCAAGGTTTAGATGGTAGGGAAGGAAAATCTTTTAAAAAGAAAGGCAAATCTGTGAACCCAAACAAAGCTAATCCAATATACCAAGAAGAAATGGGTCGCCTTATTTTCAACACAGTAGTCTGCCACTGTAGGGGAAAACGTATGGGACGCATGAAGTTTCTAGCTTTTAACGTATTTCAAAACGTAGCCATATATTTGTAAAGACGCACCCTGAAAAAAAAAGAGCTGGGGGGGGGGGGGGGGCGCCAACCCACATGAGCGGCCTCTCATCACTTCGAAGCAGGAATTGGGTGCGGGGCTGCAGACGGCGCCGGGGTTAGAGGCAGCAGTGGACGTTTGGCAGCAGCAGAGGAGGCAATTTCGTAATTTCTTTTTTTCACTAAAGTCATACGTAGGAGTCTTTCAAGTTAGTTTCTTTAAAAGGTAAGAATAGCCGACAGTCGAATTCGCTCGCTTCTCTTGCGATATAGGAAAATTGTAATTAGTTTGTGGCCAGTTTGGGGTGGGGTAGTGCTGGAGCTGAAGAAAGAGCTCGGCCCCCTCGGCCTTAGTCATTCAAGTTCAAGCAGCTTCCAGAACAGCCAAATCTCGAAACCAAACACCCTCCCAACCCCCTTGCTCCAGGCCCTCCGAGCGAGTCGGCTAACACTCCCACAAAACGCACCGCACAGGACCCTTCTCTTCTCCCAATACTTTCCGCCGTGAACGGGGAGCCACGCAGCGTTGCAAACAACGCTTTCCCCTCCTCCCCTACCTTCCCCCAAAGCACATTCCTGAGCTCCTCTCCTCGTCTCTACTCGCTCCCTCCCCTCCATGTGGTAGTCACCCTTCCCCCGGTTTTAGGAGACAGCGCGGAAAAAAAAACAACCAACAACAACAAAAAAAAAAACAGGGACCTGTACACTCAGGGCTCCCTCTTCCCCTCCCACTCTCTCGCCAAGTCCCCCAATACCACAAGCCAGGAATCAGGGCGGGGAGATCCCACACTTCCCCTTTGTTTTAAGGGCTCAGGCGAGGGCCGAGAACGAGCGATGAACACCAGCGAGAGAAAGAGAGAGGGAGAGGCAAACAGGCCCCAAACTCCCCACGGCCACCCCGGGCCTGTCGGGGCAGGGGCGAGGGGGCAGAGCGGGAGCCCGAGAGCAGCCTGGAGGCCCAGGCAAGGGGTGGGGGAGGCAAGGCAGGGCGGCGGAGCGGGAGAGAGGGGGCAGGGGAGCGCTTTTACCTTCGTCCAGCAGCCTCCCGCTTTTCCCTTCGTCCAGCAGCCTCTCGAGGTGGTTGAAGATCCCACAGAAGTTGGTGAGGCTGCTCATCAGCTTCTTGTCGTTCATGAGCTGCATCAGGTAATCGGGGCTCGTCTTCGGCTTCTCCTTGGTTTCCATTTCCCCAAC